ATATACATTGAAGGAGGTCGGTCGGGCAGAAGCTCGGTGTGAGTGGCGTGCGCAAAATTGGGCGGCTCAGGAGCTCCGCCTGTGAAAGGGATCAGCGAGCAACAAGCTCGCCGGCATGAGGAGATGCCGGTGACAAGGCGTTCGAGGTGAGGCTTGCTGGCTGGAGGGGACCAAGGCGCAAAGAGATAGGGTCAACAGCTAGGTTTCAAGAATGGGGGACGTGTCGGCAGGCTAGGTTTCGCAATAAGGTTCGCGATCGAGAGACGGTGCGAGGGTTCGTGCGATAGGTTTTGAAACATGGATTAAAATTTTTTTTAATAATAATGATATTTTTTATTTAAACTCCTCTATTTGAGCATTTTTCGCATGTGCACGGAACCCATCAAGATATGTGTCTTTCCTGGGTAAAATCGACATTCCGGACGCGTTAGCGCAGTCCGTTTCATCATCTGAGGTCATCTGGACAACTTTCCCGATGATTAAGTCAATTTAAGTCTATTTCGCGTGCGGCATGACAAATAGTTTTCGTCGACCCGATCGGGGTCGTCTGACGTGTCAAATGTCGACTGACCTTCACCTAAGCTAAAGCCAAAGCCTAGCAAAATGATACCGGTTACATGCCCCTCAACACATGCCGGTGGGTTCGAAGTGGATGTCTCGCGCTACAGGAGTCAACACGTGCATCAAACAACATTCCTTAGCGCTCGAGCAGACACCCTACACTCGTGACATAAAAAAACTGATGCCAACAATTATCACAGCTCACCGTTATGACCTGCCTGATCAACTAAAACCTACATGGTCAACAACTTGTTCAGCCCTTTACTCTAGCCCCTATTACCTATAGACATGACAATTCACAACTATGACCTATGTGACCAAATACAACTTACATGGTCCACAGCCGTGCAACACCTAACTTCAGCCTATGCGGCCTATGAACATCATCACAGCTCACCACTATGGCATATATGACAAATTATGACATGCGGGGCTCAAAGTTTCTACGGCTTTGTACTACAACCTCTCTAGCCAACCAACACTCCTGAAGCAACCATCTACGGCCTACATGTCCAACTACTATCTCGACTTTCAACTACTGCATATACAACAAGTTGTTACTACACCCACCATCTATAATATTCACGATAGACTACTATCTCCAGAGCAATTAACTACGTCCCTTGCAGCCTACTATTACTTAAAAAACCATTCTTTATAACTAAACTACGACTGTTATCAATGAGCTACTCTTGTATATTTATAATGCTCAACTTTCTAATTTCATATTCCCTATTTCAGAAGAAGAGTGAACATATATACTCATCATTCATAGTGAATTATTTCAATCTAGCTAGACACCGTAATTTTTTCTTCATTTCAATGTTTTCCCAATAAAAAGTTGAGGTGTCTCCTCCTATTTCTCTTTAATTTCTTCAGTGTGTGCTCAATTTTCATGCAATGCTAAGACAATAAAATACATATTTTGTAGAATAATTTTCGTCGACCCGATCGGGGTCGTCTGACGTGTCAAATGCCGACTGACCTTCACCTAAGCTAAAGCCAAAACCTAGCAAAATGATACCGGTTACATGCCCCTCAACACATGCCGGTGGGTTCGAAGTGGATGTCTCGCGCTACAGGGGTCAACACGTGCATCAAGCAACATTCCTTAGCGCTCGAGCAGACACCCTACACTCGTGACATAAAAAACTGATGCCAACAATTATCACAGCTCACCGTTGTGACCTGCCTGATCAACTAAAAGCTACATGGTCAACAACTTGCTCAGTTTTCATGCAATGCTAAGATAATAAAATACATATTTTATAGAATAAAAAAATACATATTTTATTGTATTATATGCAATAAATTTCTCACTAAAAGTATTTGTGATTATTTGTGACGTGTTTTGATTTGATATTAATTTTTGTAATAATAAATCATCCACGCTCAACAATGAATTGATAAAAATTGAATATTAAAAATGCACGAAACTCTTACACATATTGACCCTTACAATGATTTTTCCTCCAACTCCATTACTTATCTTGTAAGCTCCGATCGGAGCTTTGTATGCGCACAAATGGTGAGAAGCGCGCTATTAAAAATGCACGAAACTCTTACACATATTGACCCGTACAATGATTTTTCCTCCAACTCCATTACTCACTCATCTTGTAAGCTCCGACCTGAGCTTTGCCTGCGCACAAATGGTGAGAAGCGATTATTAGAAATCTAAGCTGTGAAACGCGATTTATGGATCCCAATTTCCATTTGTTGCGTTGTCAAACGCCATAAGCCGTCTCCTCTGACCGCCCGAGTTATAGAGAAAGAAGAGTGCTAAAGCCTTTGGATTTTGTCCAAGTCAAAAGCCAAAAAAATAAAGGAAGATTTACATATATGCCAATCATTTCTTTTGTATTTACATTCCTAACACTTAATTTTACTTCTTTCATATATGCCGCCTTATATAAATGTATAAAAAAAATGTGTTTATCTAAGAGTTAAAATCATATAGTTTATGCCATTTAAATATTACAAAAATATTACATATTAAATTTTAAGTTTTATTCTATCTAAAATTGGATCAAAATGTTCTAATTCAATAATTTCCTAAATAGAGCACATTGGTATTATCTCTCTCAATTAAATACCTTACTAATTAAAAAAAAAAACTATCTAAAATTGGATCAAAATGTTCTAATTCAATAGTTTCCTAAATAGAGCACATTGGTATTATATCTCTCAATTAAATACCTAATTAATTAAAAAAAAATATTTATTTTAATATAATTCATATTTAATATTTAATTACATTAATATTTTCTATTATAGCTAAAAAATTATCATAACATATTTTTATTTAAATTCTTTTCCCCACTTCATAAGAAAAACCTAAGAACATTTTTTATCAAATTTTAATCAGCATAAACTCGAAAATGAACATGTAATGCTTTTATTACATTAAACAATAAGAAAATTCATTGACTCTAAATATATTTAAAAAATTAAATATATTAACAATAAAAATTTTAAAATATTTACAAATAATAAACAAAATGAATATTCTATTAATAATTTGAGTCAAACACCCAAACCCAATCCCTCCCGCATTATATACTCCCTTCCCTCCCTCTCCCCAACCACCTTGTGCCCCCTTGCTCTCATGGGCAACACATTGGTCTCTCCCTGCTTCGCATCAACCACTCACCCCACCACCACTACCACCCCCGCCGGCGCCACAAAGCTCGTCTTTTGGGGTGGAACCACCACCATCACCACCACAAAGCTACTTGCCGGAGAACTATTGTTTCAGTTCCCTGACAGTTTAATATGTCACGCTAACTCCTTCTTCATCGGCCAACCCGTCCCCGCGCTAACTATAGAAGAAGAGCTGATTTCCGGCGAAACTTACTTCGTTCTCCCCGCCGACCACCTTCCCTGTGGCTTGCTCACCGCCGCTTCACTTGCTCTGCTTTGCTCCACCAAAGGCCGTCAGCCGGGTTTTGTTCATGGAAAGTGCCCGTTTGAGTGCGTAAAGGGGAGCGATGGGAAGGCACATATAAGGGTGCTGCCGGAGTTTATTGAAGGGATGATAAGTGGCGGCTGCGATGGTGGTGGCAGTGTCGGTGGCTCTGACGTCGGAGACGGCGACGAGGTTTGTGACGTGATATGTAGTACGCCGGAGTTGAGGAAGCAGTATGAGCAGTTGGTGGGGTCGAAGAGCCGACCGTGGTCGCCGCGGTTGGAGACGATAATTGAGAGTAATTTTAAGGTGAAGATGTCTCCCTGTAGGTTCTTGAGCTGTGATAGGGTCTAGGTTATCGGTGATTATTTAGAATATTCTCTGATTATTTACATGGGTCGTTTTAGTTCTAGAGTTTATGAAAGTGCTAAAATGATTTACCGACTTTTTTTTAAATTGGGGTTAAAATAGTTCCTATAAAAGACTATTAGACCTCAATTTTAAAATAGTCGAGGATTATTTTGGCAATTTTATAAACTCTGGAGTAAAGTAGCCTCACGTAAACAAAAGAGGACTAATTTAGACCACTTTCCCGTAAAAAATAATTTAAAAATTCTCTAATTTTTTTTTAATAAGTACAATATACCAAATTTAAGAGTTTTGTGACCTGCCTTGAGCAAAATTTTGATTAGGCCAAATCTTTTTTCCATTAAAAAAAGGAAAAAATTTGGCCTGAATAAATTTTAAAATTTTTTATTTTATTTTGAGATGAATGCAATTTAAGACTTAATTGTTTATTTTTGTGCTGTAATCATCTCAAATAAATTAAAAAATTAAATTAAATTTATTTCATCAAAATTTTCTCTTATACATACATCCTTTGGAAAATTGTAAAGAAGAGAAAGCTTTTCATAGTTTCCAATGATGAAACATATCTTGTAAATATTTTGAATTGTATAGGAAATGTTTGGCTTGTTGTTTGTGATTACTTCATAATGATGAGGGTGATGTTTTCCCTTCTATTAAAATCTATTGGAATAAGAAAATATATACATTATTTTAAAACACATTTTTATGTCAATTTAGTAAATTTATGATAGATGCAATGTGTCTCATGGGACCAATTCGTTGATAATGAAATCATCAAAGTTCAAATGAGCTTAACATGTGCTCATAATTGTTATATTTGAAATTTTTAAGACTTTCTTAAGAATATTTTATGAAATTTTGTTAATAATTTGCAATTATTTAAAGATTAGTGTCTAGATTGCATATATTTTAGATTATTTTCAAGTGTTAAAACTATATCTACAAACATTTTTAATTAATGAGAGAGGGAGATAATATGATTTGGTCTTTTATTTAACTTTGAAATGGAATGGCAAAAAGAATGATTTTTTTTTTTTGGCTCTCATTTGCCTCGAAAGTTTATTTTCGAAACTTATATTTCTATTTTATTTATCTTTTTCGACGATGAAAAATGAAATTCAAATTTTCTAAGAATTTTATTGATATATACAGGATTATAACTTAGGATGGTGTGATAGCCTTTTGTATCTTAACCCTTTATTCAATAGTAGATCACAAAAAATAAAAATCACAACTTCATAAAATTCTCTTATTTTGTATTTGATGCTAGTTATCATCCATTTATCGAGGTTATATAATCAAAATAACCCCCTATCATAATGTTTCGGGCACATGTTCAACTTGATGATATAAATACATAGTCTTTCAAAATGATCCACATTTCATCATTTATATTATAAATACATGATACCCTTTTAATTAACCCAACCGTCTTTAATTTAGCAGCGGATACAACTCAATCATTCTATTTTTCGACAAAATTTGAACAAACTTTTTAAATTTTATAATAGTTTGACACGAATAAATTATGGTACTCGTCTTTCTCAAAGTGCAGCATTAACATATAAACATTGACATATGGTAAATTATCGGACGATTACAATCCTATTTACAATATCCACTTCTATCAAGACCAACTCAAAATATTATGAAAGATATATCATAAACTTCATCCACATGAGGATTTTATACAATCTGCTTATGGTAATCAATGTGCTTCTTTTTCATATCATTGAAGTACATTCTCTGTTCTAGGCATAAGTTCAGACTCACTAGTTAAAATTAAGTGTTCTGTATCCTTTGCTCGCTTAAAAAACAAAGAAACACAAATATTATGTTATATAAACACTAACCCCACAAGTATTTGAGATTATTGTTCCATAATGAAAACCATCATTATAGAGTAAACTCCATTTTGTTAGTTCTCTTTCAATCAATCACTCATATACATTTTTGTTTTTATATATACAAGATATTTGCATATTAAAAATATTTAAGCCATCAATATTTCCTATCAAAAACATATTTTCACATTCAAAATCAAGCATATTGCACATCTAAGATACAATATGCTCCTCCAAAGCTTTCGAGAAACAAATGCGCAATTTGTATTATTAACATTGATACCGATGACCTCCTTGAAAATATTAAGGATTTATGATAAGCAATCCAAAGATTTTTATACATATACGCGCACTTAGGAGTGACAATATTTTCCAAATAGAAATGATGAGAGACTGATCAAATGCAAGAGGCTCTATCACCTTGAAATAAAGATTAGGGGAAAATAATTCATCCAAAAAGTATTACATAAGGCTCTATCAAACAAGCATCTAATAGGATTGTGTTTAGTGATTAAATTAGCTGAAAAAAAAAATACAAATATTAGGAAGTTCTAAGAATGTTTAGTAATTAGCCCATGTTTTTGAGACAACACCACCATTTATATCTTCAAATTTCAATATGAAACTGAAATCACCAAATATAAGTCATAGTTTAATAGTATTAGTAGCAATAGCAAATAAAGAATTCTATAAAGGGCAATTTTGAGCATATACAAAGGTAACAGAATTTCATGGTGGCAAATATAAGTCATAGTTTAATAGTATTAGTAGCAAAAGCAAATAAAGAATTCTATAAAGGGCAATTTTTAGCATATACAAAGGTAACAGTTTTGGTAAAGAAAAAAAGCCAGCAAACCATGAACATATTGTGCATTATTAGTCTCAATGGCGATGAAAGATGAATTATTATTATTCCATTTTATCCAAATGCAATCATTTGGAAAAGAATCTAAATTTTTATAACTGCAAACATTGGAGAAAACCATAAGATGCTTAGAAAACAATAGATAGGAGAGGGAAGAGGAAGATAAATTGGTTTCAATTAGACTTAACAAATCAATGTTATGAACTTGAATGAAATTTCTACATTTAAAGATAGAAGCATCACCATTAAAACCCCCATCATTCCATATAGCTAGAGTGGGATAAAACATAAGTTAGTGGTGAGAAGTGGATATAGTTTGCCCTTCTTGGCTTTGGTAGATGGCAACTAAGACAGTACCAGGGAGAGAAGAACTGCCAAGAATGGTAGAATGTCTAGTAATGAGGTTAGGAGAGGCAAGTTCGTACAAGAAAATTTATAGAGATTTCTGTGCTAACCCAAGCAGAGGAAAAGCTAGCCCTCTTAGCAACAAGGGGATCCACAATGAGTGGAACACCTATCTTAACATGCTATTTTGGAAATATTTGTCTTCCTCCTACAACAAAGAGGAAGGCTAAAAATTTAACGGAAATTGACACCTCATTAAAGTCTTTCCCAACAGGTGTGAAATTAGGAAACCATCTCTTAAAAATGAAGGGCTTATCACCAATAAATCAAGGACCATCATCAAACACCATTACAATATCTTCTTCATAGTAAATGTTAGAAAGAAAGAAACCTTTAGTAGGAAAGATTAAATCAACCTTATCTCAAAGGATCCATAATTTGTCTTTCATCTGTTAAACATTATCTTAGAAGGCACATTTATCAAAAACATACCCAACAAGAGCTAAATGTCATAACTTGGAGCCTTCCTCGATCTCTTTAACAACAAAGGAAACTCTTTCTTTCAAACAAGGGATGCAAGATAAGTTACAGTAGGCAAAGCTGGGTTGATGGGATGATAAAAGCCCTTTCCAAATCATGGAAAGGGGGACACCAAGAATGGAGGAAGAGGCTAAAGAAGGGAGAGGGAGAAAAGCAACATGATCCTTGGGGGGCAAAGGGACAATGCCCCACAACCAATATAGGAGGAGAGACCAGGCGACTAGAGTTTAGGAGGAAAGGGGGCAGTGCATAAGCCTTCAATATAAATAAGGTATATGCCATCCTTATTACCATTTCATATCTAGTTATGTTTAGGAATCAAAGAAGAGAGAAAAAATTGCATACATACCATACAATTCTTTAGTATTTACATATCTAACTCCTAAACTTTCATATTTACATATATATCATTGGTTTTCATAAACCAATACATGGAAATGTGTATTTTAAATTTGAAAATAATAAAAAAGTGATATTTTTAGAGTGATACTAAAATTTTGAGTGTTATACATGTAAATATGAAAGTTTAGAGGTTAGTGCCGGTCGTCATACGGCTCGGTGTGGTATAATTTAGTGTAATATAGTATTTGGAAATTAGTTATTTTAATTTGAAAAAAATTGGGCCAAACTGATCTTATTGATTCCTACCTTTTGAATAATCAAGCTAACCACGAGTAATGTACCACCCTGAAAAGTAATACACTACTTGATTAAAAGCTCAATTAAATAAACTATAGAAATAAGTTCCGTTTGAATAAGTTCCTTTTGTTCTGCAAGTTTGCATGATGACCGACAGATTCTCTTATAAGATATGAGTCAAATAGTTATTTTAAGTCTGGGTTCTTTTAAGTTTTCTATAAGGGCAAGTTCCTATAGTTAATTACATCTTAAGCGAACAGATACTTTAAAAAAACTCTCGATAAAAATCAAGAATCTTTTGTTTTCATGAATTCAAAAGAAAAATTTATCAACGAATATGATTGTGAAATCTTCAATAGGAATTTGTTTAAAGATGAAAGATTTGTTTCAAGAATCAAAGAAATTAAAGAACCAGAATAGGTTCTTGGTAATCCCCCAAACTATCCTAATGTTTGACTCAATTTAGGATGATATTAATTTAAGTTAACTCTTGTCAGTTTTATTAATTAGGGTTTAGATTTGTGTAATGATGATTTATACAAAAAACCTAGAAAGATGGCAGGTTTTATGTTAAGTGACTACCTCAAAATCCTAAAACAAGTTATAAAATGTTGCATGTTGGGACTATGCAGGAGCCTAATAAAAAGACAGGTTTTATGTCATAAAAGACAGCCTCAGAATCCTAAAAATTGTTATTTTAAAGTAAAGAAATGTCATAAACGAGCTGCCTACAAAGTCTGCTCCAAACTTCATACTGAAATGTCTTCAGGTCCTCCAGTCTCATTCTTAAAAGTTTTAT